CTAAGTAAATTTCGAGGATGAAATATCTTTTTAGGAGGATAGAGTTGTAACACCCCAATTTCTGGGCTAGTAGGTTCAAGTTTACCCGAGAGATTTGTAGATCTCGTGGAGTTCGTGATTAAAGTTGTTGGGCTGAGCGTGGGCTTAATTGGGTTGGATTTGAGCCCAATCAATAATAAAAATGAGGTTTTTATATTTTAGAAAGATGAGGAAGGATCTATAGTGCGATTATCCCATTTTAAACAAGATGAACGCTTTTATCTCTTCCATTTCATTATTCTCTTCATTTCTTCTTTTCCTTCTCATTTCTCTCATTTTTCCTTTCTATTTCCCATAGCTCAAATGTAAGTTCTTGAGACTTTTTCATACTTCAAATCCATCCACAATCCCTCTAGCAATATTGTTTTAAGGATTCAAGCTTTGAGTTTTTCATTTTTGTTAGAGAAAGTGGGGGTTTTATCATCCAAGACTAAAAGAGAGTGTTGGGTGGTTAAAGGAACTTTATTTCGGGATTCTAACATCAATGTAGTGTATTTCTAATCCTTTGTGGTGTTAAGGTTTTCATAATCATGAAGTTTTATTGAGATTTGGGTTTTAAGCATTTTTAGGGTTTATGTTTAATTTCATGATTAGATGACGAAATTAATGTAAACAAGGTATTTTATGGCACTTTAACACCCTAAATAACTTCTTAAAGATTTATCACATGTCTAGAAATCAAACTAAGACCCTTAGAGTGGTTTTTGGGTGTTTCTCGAGCTTAAATAAGACATTTATAGGTTCGAGTATCAATAATGGTTGAATAGTATCAATGTTGGATGAACTGGGTCGACTTTTTGGCATTTTATAAGGGGAATATCGATACTCTAGGGTGGAGTATCGATACTGCAACCCTGGTATCGATACTAAGGGTAATAATATCGATACTGGGGGTAAATTTTGCAATCCAATAGCCTTTTTGGTATTGATACTCAAAGGGCTATCGATAATGACCTAGAAGTATCGATATTGCATGTAGGGTATCAATACTACTCATTTTGGATGGTTAGATTCGACTTTGTTGATGTCTGTAAGACCTAAGGATGATCTAAAATGGTGACACTTAGTCCTTTAGGGACTTAATTGGCTAAAGAGGCCCAAAAACACTCATAGGAGTAGGTTACAACTGAATTAACCATACCAAGAGTAATACCTCCGAGTTTTTTCAATTGAACATGTATTGGGTAATCGTGAACGAAGGATCGTTTTGAAAGATGTACCAGCTGATGAGACGATGAACGATGTGACTAGCATGATAGAGGAAAATTAGTACCCCATGAATACCTATAATCAAATATGTGTAAGTTACCTTACCAGTTCAGTGGTGAACCGATGAAAAGTGCGATGGGAACGACTAGGGAGTTGTTGTCAATGAACTATACCGGAAGTGAGTGTTGGGCAAGTTATAATATACCAAGTGGGTAGCAATGGTTATGAATTGCCTTAAGAGCATAAAACACTAAAATACTAATAAGCTCTTGTATAACGTTATAGGAGAGAGAACGAATCAGATAGTAGTGAGTGAGAAAATGATCTCACCTACTTGTGTTGTAATTGATAATGTTGGGATTTTCGGAAGCTCGAATGGACAACCGGAACGGTTTGCAAATAGGGGTCGGAACGGTTTTTGAGTTTAGGGAGTAAGGAGATTGAAAGATAGAAAATTGCACAGCGATTTAGAGTGGTTCGACTTTCTAAACCAAAGTCTACGTCCACTACCTTAGCTCCTCACCAAGGATTTTCCAACAAATTCACTAATTTGTTCTTTCTTTTGAGGACAAAGAGATAACCTTACAACTCCCTAGTTTTTCCGGGCTAAACTAGAACTTTTCCCTAGCTTTTATACGGGATAAGCTAGAACCTTTCCCCTTTACAAAAGGATAAAAGATGTAAACAAGAAAACCTCTCTAAGGTAGGTGTTTACAAGATTGAGCTCACAAGAACAAAATATTTACAAGAGAAAGATGAAATAAGATTGAAAAACTCTTCTCTTGTGTTTGATTGCTTGGATAGTTGTTCCCTTACTTCTTCAAGTGTCCTTAGCTTGTATTTATAGCTTGGAATGTGTTTGATGTCGTATATAACCGTTGGGGATGTTTTGGAGTCGTTTGGGGATGATTTTTCTACTCAAAAAAGGCTGCCCATAACATGATGCATCGATGCATGATCAAGGTGCATCGATACCCCTTCATTAAATTCAAATAAACTAGCTGTTACTAGCCGTTGCAGCCTTGATGCATGGATGCATGGCAGGATGCATCGATGCATGACAAGGATGCATCGATGCACTAATTGCATTCGATGTTTGGATGCATGGATGCATCGATGCATTAGTGCAGATGCATGGATGCACTGCAGGGATGCATGGATGCACTGCAGGGATGCATGGATGCACTTTGACACCCTTTAGCATTTTTGCTCAAATCTGATTTTAATGGACTTTGAATTATTTTTGAAACCTTTTAAAACTTTGAATAAATTCAATTAAGTCCAAAAACATTTTGTAAATTCAATTCAAGTCCAAAAACCATTTTGTCTTAAATTGTTATATCAAAACATAGTTCAACAGATAATAATGACAAGATAACCATGTGATAATAATGTTACATGTGTGATAATCATAATAATCTTATGAGGTAAGATTCCATAAGACTTATGCCTTTGTTTGACACTCGAAAAACGATGAGGACACTCGAGTTACTTGTGTATGTGAGTGACGATCGTCTAATTGTTTGAGAAATATTTAGATATATCTAAGTCAGTGCGAGAGCATTTTAGTCACTAGTTAAACGTTGTATTGATGCTATATGACTCAGACACGTTCCTAGTACTTTAGAGTAGTAGACTAGCTTGACAAGGTGTCAATGTTGTGTAACCCGGACCTAGCCTTAGGTAAGAGGGAGATATTGATGTTGTGTGACCTAGATCTCGCCTAAGTTGTCAGTAGTAAGCAAATATGGGTGTGAGTTTCGTGATGCTATATGACCTCGAACTACATTATGATGCTTATTTGTTGTTGTATAATTGTACCTAGCATCTTTGTGATACCAGATACTATCATTGCGTGTTGCATAATGATGCATTGTAGGATGATATTGAGGTTAGAGACCTAGTATATGTTTGTTCATGGTGAGGTCCTTCATAGAGACTAAGGGAATCATGAGACTTACACTAAAAAGGTAGAACTGTCGAACCATAAGTAGGTAACAATTGATTAGGATCATGCATGTACCTACTACTTATTACCATGTCTTTTAGTATGCTTATGTTTATGAGATTTATGTTGCTCTAAATTAGCTATTATACTACTGGTTTTGTAAGCTCATCGTTAGGATGTTTTCTATTCGCATGTTAGTATATTGAGCAGTTCGAGGAGCTCCATCGCAACAAGATTTCCAACATTCCTCACAAAGTATTGTATGGTTACTTGTAGTGGGCATGTGTATCATATGACCCTTATGTATTATGATTTGTAAACATGAGTTGTATTAATTAATTTAAATTGTGTTATTAAGCTCCGATTTATAAAAGTATTTAATTACTGTTTTGAACTACTGATTTTTAAATTGTGATTATGAGTATTGATTTAAAAAATGGTTAACCACTTCAGTGGTTTCGTGTGACATTCAAATCTTTTGAATTTTAGATTGGATCGGATTATAATGTTACATAATAAAAATGACTAGAATAAGAGTTTTCATACGGTTAAAAACTCTTACAACCAATGATTAATTTCCTCACCACCCACTCACCAATGAGGTGATGATAATACTATAACTTCAAAAACAAAAATAAATAAAAAGATAATAAAACAAAAGGAAATTTATTGTAAGACATTAGGACAAGGTTACATTAAGGACTAATCATATGAAATATAATTAAGTTGATAAATATGAAGTGTATATAAGATAATATTTATATTGTCAAAAAAGATTATACATGTTTAAAGATTTTCAATTATTTGAGAATGAACGTTTATATTTTTTATATTTGCAGTGCTCAAATTTGAGACTATAAGATATAACAATAAATCTTTTAATCACTAAGATCGTTTAATTTGTATTATATTTTTATTATTAAAACTTGAGAAAATGTTTAGGAAATAATGGATTGACATTAGACAAAATAGGTGGAAATTGGAATATGCTTCATCACATTCAATGGTGAAAATCTTCTCTTATTTCCATAAATTGCTCTCACCCTCTAGAAAATTCCGTCAAATATTTGACACCGAGATTAAAGGAATCTGAATAACCCGTGATTTTATTCCCACAAGATTATGACAACCACACTCGCACAACTAGAATCTGACAACCAAACGCATTGAAGCAGATGCCCACGTGGACAATGTGTAAAAAGCATACTGCCACTGCCATTCAACAGAAGAGAGAGTAGAAGCTACGTATCTAAAATTAGCGCGTAGAGACCGAAGTAAAAGGGAACTGCTACTAAGTTGCCAAAAAATAAAAAAAAAAGCGACCAGTTGGGATGCCCCCACGTGTCGGGTTCCTGTCCAAGAACTAAATCCACTGGCAAGAGCACTCATGAAAAGATATCTTGCATTTGCACCTACTAGATTTTTAGCTACCGGGCCCCACACACAAAAATATCCCGATCTTAAAGTAAAACCAATCTCAAGGTCTTGCCTTTGTTTCTGAACCAAACCTTTGTTCAGCGTTGGGTTCGAATTGAGTTAAAGAAATGGTTTATTTAAATTGATATTACTTATTTTATAAAATAATTTTTATTTAAATAATTTTGAGTTGAATTTATAAAATTTAAGTTGAATTGATTTGAATTGAATTATTCGAATTTATATCTAGATTTAATAGTAGATAGTTATAATAATTATAAGATTAAACGAGAGCCCCAAAATGCAGTGACTTACAGATAGGTAGCTGACATGGCTTCCATAGGCCATACAAAACATGCTTCAAGAAATTTTCTTTGATTGTAAAGATGAGATATTTTTTCACCCTTTGATTGCAATTCAATTGCCGTCCCATGTAAGGGACTAGTTTTAGATATTTTTTTTATAGGTAGCAGCTGCTGTCCAAAATAGATTTTTAGCTTACCATGGTAATAGGTTTTCCATTTCTTTTGCTCTCTTTTAGCATTGCTTCAATTTCGGAGCTTCAAGCGAGGTGAATATTCTAATACTTGGGCTGATTCTGATTATAAAATATGGGTGAGGTTGTGGTGAGTATTGAGGAGGTGAGAATTGGGAATGAAACTGACAATCAAAACGGGGAGTCGGAAGGGAATATGGAGACGACGGCGACTGCGAAGGGTGGGGGTTCTTCTTCCGGAGCTGTAGTGAATTGGGGAAGGTTTTTACCCATACGGGCTTTGAGGGTTTTGTTGGTGGAAGCTGATGATTCAACCAGGCAGATTATATATGCTCTTCTCAGAAAATGCAGTTATAGAGGTTTGTTCTAATTCTATTTTCTACTCCAGATTATGGCCTTTTTTAATGTTGAATTTGTTTGATCCATTAGGAGTTCCAGCTAAACCTTTTTGTTTGATTCAATTTATTCCATCTGAGGATATCTTCATCATATATAAGATGTCCTACTTTATGACAGTTTATGATAAACATAGTTGTGGACTATGGTTCAAATTACATGTTGATTCTTGCTTCAAATGAGAAATCGTTTATGATTTTATCATGCTGCAGTTGGGAGTTGGCACTGAAAATAGTTTTGGTTCTCCTCTTTCTTTTGAGCAGTTGCTGCTGTTCCTGATGGCTTGAAGGCATGGGAGATGCTGAAAGGAAGACCTCATAACGTAGATCTCATTTTGACAGAAGTGGATTTGCCATCTATATCGGGATTCGCTCTTCTTACGCTAATCATGGAGCATGATGTTTGTAAAAACATCCCTGTTATAAGTATGATACGAAAGTTTCTATGATGTTTTCTACTATGTATCTACAAAAAGGCAATTTAGATAATTTTCTTTGGGTGTGATTGTGCAGTGATGTCCTCACAAGATTCAGTTAGCACAGTGTACAAATGCATGTTGACAGGGGCGGCCGACTACCTTGTTAAGCCGATAAGGAGAAATGAGCTGAAAAATTTATGGCAGCATGTATGGAGAAGACAATCAGTATGCTTACTTATGCTTTATTTCCCTCTCCATTTTACAGTTCTTTTGAAGATATAATTTACATCTTTCCAAATACTGATTTATATCTGTTTTTCAAACCAGTTAATAGCTGGAGGGAACTCCCCCCGGGATGAGAGCGTTGGACAGAAAACGGTTGAAGCTAGCTCTGAAAATGATGCTGCAAGCAATCATTCCATTGGTTGCTTGGCTGCCGTCCGGAAAAATAAGGAACAAACTGAGAAAGGTAGTGATGCTCAGGTCAGTACTCTTCATCTGTCATCTTTGTTTTATGTCGATGAGTGGATTAACCATATAGAAGATATGCTTGTCCTACACCTGTGTACCTTTTCTGGATTGGCGACATTTTTTGTGTATAGACAAGTTATGTTTATCTGGAATTACCAATTCTCATGGTCAAAAGGAGTTTTCTTCCGGTTTTAAGTTGGCTACTTGGAGTTTCATATAGACTGCATGTTTTATGTCTCTAGCAGAGCTCCTGTACGAAGCCAGATATGGAAGCTGAGAGTATCCACAAGGAAAATATACAGGAATTCTCGCACTTGATAAAGAGAAAATCTCTATCGATTGAACTGCAGGAGCATGAAGCTCATGCCAGTTTCAACCAGAACCTGCTCATGCATCAGACAGAAACTGAGGGTAAGTCTATTTTGAATGTTTGCATTGTCTTTTCTGTTCATTAGAGAGCAACTAACATTCTCTCAATGTCTCGGTCAACCTTATGAGTAGTTGCTGATTACTGCAAGGATGCTTACGCCACAATTGTGCACCAGGGCTTTGAACTGGAAAACCAAAAAAGGGATTCTAATATCTTGGTCGAGGCTGGTGAGGCGCTTCTTGGTTCACCAAGACAAGCTATCGACTTCATGGGAACATTTAGTAAAAATTGCATTTCTTCTTCAATAAATAGCTCAAGAAAGCTTGATTCTTCTCCATACTTGGATCTTTCCTTGAGAAGAAGTAATCCTAGTGTATTTGAGAATCATGTTACTCAAGAAAGGCCTACCCTCTGGCATCCTAATTCATCAGCCTTCACAAGGTTGGTTTCTGTTATATTTGTTGTTACCATCTTCAGATTCTTGCACAAAAAGGTTGAAGTGTTTTTGACGAAATGGATATACGATCATATTTGATACTTGCATTTTTTTTACTGATCATACCAATTATCGTTAATGCAGGTACACTAGAAGAGTATCACAGCCCTTGCAATCAACATTGATGAGTGCTGGTGATCAGAAGAAAGACTCCGAGACTAATTCTGAGAAGATATTGACCAATATTATTTCCGAGTATACTCCTACTCCTACTCCTACTCCTACACTAACTCCTCAAAGAAGCATGATTCCTTCGACCACTGGAGCTACTAGTGAATTGAAGCAAACTGCAGTAGATGCACCATGCACACAACAGAAAGTATTTCCTGTCCCAGTACCAGTGAAGGGTATACGACCGAATAATCCATGCAATGGTTATAACACTATAATTCCTCCAATCTTTTGTTCGCAGTCAAGGTCATCCATGCCAAGTCGAAGCTCAGCCAACCAGCAGGAACCTGCCTTTCGCGTGAATCTGTTTCGCCATTCCAGTTTTGAAGCCAACTCCTCTGGACAGTTGTTTGAGCAACTTGCCTCCAATACAAATCAGTCAACCAACCAGCCCTTGAGCGCGCTGGATTCAGTTGAAGATAGAGGACATATTTCTCCCACTACTGATCAGAGTACAAACAGCAGTTTTTGTAATGGCTCCTTAAGTCAACTTAACGGTATTGCATATGGAAGCACTGGTGCAAGTAACGGCAATGTTGATCAGGTTGCAATCCCCCGGGCTTCCACAGAGAGCAAGAACGATGAAAGTTTTCCTAGTCCTAGTGTAAATTCATGCCGTTCTATCCAAAGGGAAGCAGCTCTCATGAAGTTCCGCTTGAAGCGAAAGGATAGATGCTACGAGAAAAAGGTAAAAAGATTCCGTTTCCAACATTATGTGCTTACATGTTAACAGTTCACTACTTTGCATACAAGAAAAACTATACTGAGATCCTTTAACAAGATACTGATGTTACATTACGGTGCTAGTTTCCAGTTGCAATGTAACAAGTAAGAATCATGTGTGGATAACACACACATAGGTTGAGAAAGCAGCTAATGTCTCGTTTCCAATTCTTTTGGCAGGTCCGATATGAGAGCAGAAAGAAGCTCGCAGAGCAGCGCCCACGAGTAAAAGGTCAGTTTGTCCGTCAAGTGCAGGCTAATCCCACGCATACAGAAGCTGAGCGTCTTCATGGAAATTCAACAGATGGATATGCTTAGTTGCATTCCAACTCTATAAACAGAGGAGACCAGGCACTTGCTTATGCAACCTTTTGTTTTGTAAAGCTGAGGAAACGGAGAGGAGGCTGAATTTTATACATAGAATAGCACATATCCATACTTATTATGATATTAGTGGTTAATGACACAGGTTGCTATGTACTTTTATAAAAAATAATGTTTTGATGTTTTGTAGTCGACAGAGCTTTTCACCGGGGTTGTCTGAATCATTTTTTATTTGTTCATTCAGTTGATTTGTATGCCTGTTGCAATTGCCAACTTATACCTGGTGTAAATTCAAATATAGTGCATTTCTCCAAGAAGAGCTTGATTTTGGTAGATGACCATAATTTACATTTATTATTATTATTATTTTAGTTGTCCACTCAGTTTCAAGGCTTTGCCTTAATTAATCGTTGTTTTAGTAGGTGAGTCTTACAACAAAGATTTTATGTATACATAAAGACTCGAATTTAAAAGTTTTCTTAAACAATATCAAATTGTTTACTACTTGAACTAATCCTTATTGGTTAATTTACATTATTTTTATTTAAGGTAAACTATCAAAACTTTTAATTAGATGACCATTTTCTTTAATGAAATTATGCTATCCCAATTGATAACCGAAATACCAAGAGTGGTGAATTGACTTTAAAATCAAATAAAAAAGAATTAGAGTTTGATTTAAAATAAAATTTGATCAATTTAGTGTGTTTATGGTGTTGGTATTTGATCATTTTAATAACATGTTAAAAAGTAATAAAATTATTGACGTGATATTTTTGAAAAAAAATTAAAAACGACATGACATTAGTTTTAAACACGTCAACATGACATTAATTTTAACAGTAGTCGACCAAAATAAAACCAAAACGTAACATTAAGTATAATTTGAAACAAAAATAGTTGAATAACTAAAACATAATAAACTTGATACTTGTAGTACTAAATGTGTAGTTTACCCTTTTTTGGGTTGAGAGAGTGAAAGTTAATCTAAAAACTGGAAAATGAAACAGGAAATGGAGAGGACTAAATATGGCACGTTGAAAAAGATTATTGGAATGTATATTTAACTAAATTGTTTTTATTATATATTTGTTTTTTTAATAAGTTGAAAAATATTTATATATTTTCTTTAAAAAAATTAAATTCATAAAATTTATATATTTTTTTTACAAAATTGAAAATATAAAAAGGTTTAATGAAAGGGTAAAATTTTATTTTAACCCCTGAACTTCATATAAAATATTAATTATAGATTTTTTTGTAAATCTAAAATAGTTTCTGGATAAATTTGTAATTTAACCTTCGTAAAATTTTTATTAGTCAATTACAGAAGAATGATAGTTTTGAAAAAAATAATTAAGGGCATTTTAGTCCAAAATGCCGGTAATCTAACAATACCTAAGGAAAGGGAGGCAATGACATTCCCGGTAATATACCCTAAAAAATCTACTATTCGTAATCTTACATTATCGAGAATGAGATTCCCAGGTTAACTAAAAGGAGGAATATGGATTCCATTCCCATAAAAATCCACATTCCCCCATCCAAACACCCACTAATTCTTTGTTTTGGACCAACAGTCCCGAAACGGGCTTTTTATAAACAAAAGAGATGTAGCCAAACTTGGAAAAAATTGGTGGAATCTACATTGTACCAAACCTTTAGCTTTTGTTTTTTTTTTAATATCTTTTGCTATTTGTTTCATTTTCATCCATGAGATTGTTATCCATAATAGTAATGATAGATTAATAGCTTGTTTGAGTTAATGATGAGTTCCATATTGGTTTTCACATGACATGGTCTGCCTACGCGTTCATTTGTAACCATTTACTTTTTAAATAACCATGTTTACCAAAGCACATAGACACATTTCTAAAAGTTTTCTTACATTGTATGTTGTTATCTCTTTTTCTTTTCATCTTTGTTAATTAGAGGCGATACCAATTTTAATGTTGATTATCGATTGTCGGTATTCTTTATTGTTATTTTATTTTCTTATATTATATCTTTATTTATTTTTTATTTTAAAAAATTGTCTGTATGACACGTTTTTATTTGCCTTTGTGACACATTTTCTATGTCTTTTAACATGTTTTTCGGTCATTTGACTGTTATTTTTTATTTATTTATTCTAAATAGTTAATTTGACATTTCACCACTGATCAAGATGACGTTTATTTAATATCTTATTGATATTCTCGGCTTCGGACTCTAAAATTATATTTTTGATACCCGTTTTACGTTCGTGGATAGCTTTTCACGTCACTCGAGTCTGATTCGCGGGTTTTATCGATGGTATTTCAGTAGCTTGATCCCTATTTGTGATTTGTCTGTCGATGCGATCAGATATATTTGTATATATCTTTGTTTGAGTTTCTTGGTTTGTTTTTAATCTTTCTTTGTATGGTTCTTATGTGATCTTAAATTGCTAGTTTTACTTCAATGATTATAGGAAATTATACTAATTATGTGTTTAATTACGATTATAAATATAAATATTTATTACAATTTAAAATATTTCCTATTTTGAATAAAATTAATGACTTCTATAAAAAATCACGTTTTCTAACTCCTCAATAATCTATGTTTTATTCATTCTCTCCAAAAAGGAAAACTATTTTATCGGCTTCTACAATAACTTTTTAATAATCTGTGTGATTTTAAGAGTGATATATGTTCAAAATCTTTTTTAATTATTGATAATGCACACACTCAATAAATATAAGTGCTTGAATTTAAGGTCTTAAAAAAGAATAATATTTCATTTAACTACTTAAACCCCCTGATGGGGTTGACTTTAGGATATTTTATATGTCAAGAATACTTCTTTAGATAATAAATGGAAAAAAATTTTTTTTGTTTAAATCCATCCTTCTGTTCTTAATTTCTTAATAAGACTGGATTATTATTAATTAGGGTGGTGTATGGAGTGACTTTAAAGGCTTGTGAGGGTGCGGGGATGAATTGGTACCATTACGGACCCCGTTTTCTTTCCTTCATAGGAATAAACAAACAAGAAACATGCTTTCCTTCCCATTAAAGATTCAGTGCATTCCTTGCAAGCTTCCCATGAGTTTTAAGTTATGGCTCAAAGAGAATATATATATATATATATATATATATTAGTTTTACACCCTTTTAGAAATATATTAGTTTTACACCTTTTTAAGGTCTTTAGACGAGAAAAAAAATTAAATGTTGAGTTTAATTACTTGTTTTTTAAGTGAATATATTTTTATTTCCTACTGATAATCTCAGTCTTTGATTTTTTTCTTCATCCAGCGATTCTAAAAGAGTGTAAAATTTAAAAGTTTTACAGTAAACCAAAAAATTTAGGATTACAGAGTATACTAGAAATTATTTTAAGAGTTAAATTATGATTTTACCATTTATTTAGCTTACAATTTTGCAATTTTTAAAATATTACACTGAAACTTTATCATGTATTAGTAAAATATAATTTTATTATATCTAAACAGAGACGAACATAAGATTTTATGTTAAGAGAGCAATTTTAAACTTATAAAATTTCAGGGGAAACAGATTTTTAAATAGAAAATACATAGTTGAAATTTAAAACATATGATAATTTTAAAACTTTAGGGGAGGCGACTGCCCATACCCGGCCCGTCACTCGTCGGTCCATCCTTGTATCTAAACATGGGATTTTAGAAATTATAGGGACCAAAATAGCATTTTTTTACCATTTTTTATTTTTTAAAGAAAATTTTGGTTCATCTTGGATAGAAACTTAGGCAGAAACGACCGATAAACTCCGTAACTGACATTTTATAGACGGATTTATTGGAGTTTTCTGGCCATTGTTAACTAATACGGCAAGAAAGGCAAAACACGCATGACGAATTACTATTAATTTGAATGACATTCAAGAAATATAGTGATGATGAAGATATATATTTTTTAAATTAATCATTGATTTTCGATATATTTACTGATTAATTCTGAATCTAGGGCTACTGAAGACCAAAATCATATTGTTACTGTTGAAGAAATTGAACCTGATCACAATGAGATTATGTCAGTCCCTAAAGATAAAGTTGATCAGATTGAACAAATTGCATTCGATCCTATAATCACTGATCCTAAAGACCCAGTTGATGAGAAAGAACATCCCTTAAATGATTTTACTGAACCTATTGAAGATGGAAAAACGGACACCCAAATAGCTGTACAAAAACGGGGCAGAGACAGGCCTATTAAGGACACTTTTAAAACATCATTAGCAGGATCTAAAAACAGGTTTGAAGTGCTCAACTCAATTGAAGAAAATCCTCAAAGTTCAGATAGACAGCCAAGAAAGATTCGAACTGCTTCATTGGGGGTTACAAGTTTGGTGAATGAGCTAAAATCCAAGAATAATGAACATTTGGACAAAGCTAAAAGTATCTCATTAGAGAGTAATGGGGATATCGTGGGATCCTCCTCTAAATGATAATTAGCTTTTGGAATGTTAGAGGTCTCAATAGACCTCTAAAACAAGAAATGGTTCTTCAAAGAGCTAACCACTACAAAGTTGATATTTTATGTTTAATGGAGACTAGAGTCAAATCTGATAAGTCAGAGGTTATTCTCAAGTCAAAGTTTGCTAATTGGAATGTTTGTACAAATTATGATTATGCTTTGAATGGGAGGATTTGGGTGCTATGGAGGAAAGGAATTGATTTTTCTATCATCTAAGTTACTGATCAGAGTATTATTGTCAAAGGTTCCTATCTTTATACTCCTCTATTCATCTCGGTTATTTATGGAAACAATGAAGGCACAGTTAGAAGACAGTTATGGAACCAGCTTCGTGATATGGAAAAAAATATTATGTATTCCCCTTGGATATTATGAGGGGACTATAATATTATTCTTCACTCTTATGAAAGTTCGAATCATGATTTACTTAGCCCTTACCTTACTTCTGATATGAGAGATTTCGAAGACATCACTCAAGAGCTTGGCCTTCAAGATCATCCTTATTTTGGGCCTTCATTCACATGGAGCAACAAGCAGCATGAAACTTTTCTAGCAAGGAAACTTGATAGGGTCTTGATCAACCCCTATTGGTTTAGTTCATTTCATCAATCATTTGTTGAATTCACTACTCCAGGCATCTCTGATCATTGCATGGCCATTGTTTGGCTTTCTAAAGAGATTTCTTGTAATAGATCGAAGCCATTTAAATTCTTTAACTTTTGGACCATTCACTCGAGCTTCATGAACGAGGTTAAGCAATCGTGGTAAGGTTCTGTTCAAGGCAACCCAATGATAATTCTCTTTATTAAATTAAAGAGACTCAAATTATGCCTAAGGAACTTAAATAAAGATAGCTTCAGCGATCTCTCGGCTCGAGTAAGACAAAAGGGACTTGAGTTGGAGCTTCAACAACTTCTTACTTTAAAAGGAGAGGATGTTATTGAAAATGAGCAAATCTTACAATCTGAGCTAAGCACTCTTGAAGATGAAGAAGTAATGTTTCTCAAACAAAAAGCCAAAGTGCAGTGGCTTAAGGAAGGAGATAAATGTTCTAAATTCTTCTACTCGCGGGTTGTAATTAAGAATAAAAGAGATACCATTCGGGTTCTTGTAAATGATCAAGGTAACAGACTTGAAACATTTGATGGAATGACAGCTGAAGTTACTGATTTCTTGAGATAACAATCCTCTTATTCTGAAAGATTTGCTCCAATACTCTTTACCTGCACAGGTATCTTCTAGTCTTGTTAAGGAAGTAACCAAAGAAGAGATCAAGGAAGCCATTTTTAGCCAAGGAAACGATAAAGCTCCTGGTCCTGACGACTTCACCCCTTTTTTTTCAAGAAAACATGGCCTATTATTGGTGATGAAGTGGTGGCTGTTGTCCAATATTTTTTCCTCAATTCCCACATACTGTCTTCTTTTAATGCTATTATCCTAGCTTTGGTTCCTAAAGTTTCAAACCCAAAATCAGCAAAGAATTTCGACCAATTTCTTGTTGCTCAGTGATCTACAAGACTATTACTAAGATTCTGTTACAAGATTGACTAATTTTCTTCCTGATATGATATCACTGAACCAAACAGCTTTTTTTTAAAGGAATGAGCATAGTCGAAAATACTCTCCTTGCCCAGGAAATGATAAAAGGCTATGGAAGGAAAAATATCTCCCCAAGATGCTTATTGAAAATAGATCTCCATAAGGCTTTTGATTCCCTTCACTGAGGGTTCATCTTATCTATTCTTATAGCTCTTGATCTTCCTAGGAGTTTCATTGATTGGATTGAAGCTTGTTTTACTTAAGCTAGGTACTCAATTTTGTTTAATGGAAGTATTATTGGCTATTTCAAGGGAGCTAGAGGAATAAGACAGGGCGACCCTTTTTCACCCTTCTTATTTGTCCTTACCATGAATATGTTATCTAGAATGCTCAACTTGGCAGCTACAAGAGGTATGTTTGACTTTCACCCTAAATGTAAGAAGATTGGTCTTACACACTTAACATTTGCTGATGATTTACTGATTTTTTGCAAAGGAAATGTGGATTCTATAGTTGGAGTCATTAGTGTTTTAGATCAATTCTATGATATGTCTGGTCTCAAACTCAATGCATCCAAAAGTGAATTTTTTGCTGCTGGAATCTCTTCAAGAACTTTAGATGATATTAAGCAGATTTCTGGATTCAAATATGGTATCTTGCCAGTAAGGTACTTAGGAGTTCCATTAGTCACTCGAAAGCTCTCCGAGAAGGAATGCAATATTCTAATTGAGAAAATTAAAGCAAGACTTCATCATTGGGCAGAAAAAACTCTGAGTTATACGGGCAAACTTGAACTCATTCGTTCTGTTCTATTCAATATGGCGAATTATTGGTGTAGTCAGCTAATCCTTCCCCAATCTATCTTAAACAAGATTGATCAACTATGTTCCCAGTTTTTCTGGAAAGGAACAAATAAAGCTGCTTCTGGAGCTAGGATAAGTTGGGAGAAAGTCTGTCAATCAAAGTCAGAAAGGGGGATAGGAATTAAGAATACTAAATCCTGGAATAAAACTTGTCTTTTGCACCTCATTAGGAAAATTATCTCGGGTGAAGGCTCATTATGGGTTGTTTGGCTAAAAGAATATGTTTTGAAAGAGACAAACTTTTGGAACCTGCAAATTCGACCTAATACAAGCTGGTATTTTAACAGATTATTAAAATTACGAACTGAAACTCATCCTATAAATTTCTCGACCTAGTCTATCATGTTGAAGCCATATGTGCTGAGGGCTGAAATTTTATCTCATAAGACTATTCTGCTTTTGAACTTGTCATGGTATTTTTGTTTTGTTTATTACTATCCATTGCTTGAGGACAATCAATAGTTTAAGTTTGGGGGTGTGATAACTCCGTAAAAAACCACATTTTGGGGCATTTTAACTTAGGTTATTGAATGTTTAAAGGCTCATTTAGGACCATGTAGATGCATTTAGAAGCATTTAGTTGCATGTGGTGGATTTCAGTTTGTCGTGGCATTTTATTTTTACTACGGTGCTGCTTTATGGGAAAGGTATTTGTCTGACGATGTGCATGTATTGAGAGCAAGGAAAAGAGGAAAGAAAATGCCGTGACATAAGGAGATTGCTGAGCGAAATGAATTTGCCATGTTCATCCGGCATTTCGAAAGTGCTTAAAGTGTGAGAATATATTTTTGAAGCCAGCTGTATTCGACTAGCCGAGAGCTCCGCCCTAGAAATCCTCCTCGAAGATCCGCCTGGAGGGACTTGCACTGCAACCGCCGATCATGCTGACCACGCTGCCTGACCCTGCAGATCTTATCTGTCATTTGAATCTGCAAATGTATTATGCCGGTCACTCATACCAGCTACCCAGGCTGTATCATCACCTGTCTTGCCCGACTCCCAAGCAAGTTAACCATAGTTTGGGAAAGTCAACTCTTAGTTCAAGGGTTAATTTTTCCCCTATAAATAGAGGATGAAGCCAAAATGTTAAGGACTTTAGTTCCACCTAGATTTGAGCTTAAAAAGTTAGAGAGAGAATGTCTCATTTTTCTCCATCAATCTCACTTGCCGTGGCATTTCTCCTTGACAAGTCTGAGGGAGTGGCGGTCTGAGCGTCCGAGAGGAGTCAGTCTGCTGGGAACAGTTCTTGGTGGCCGAAGGAAGCACTGGGCAGTGCACGTCGAGGGTTTTCTCTCCTCCACTTAGTTCTTTGTTTTCATATTTTGTTAAAGGGTTGTAAGGAACGAATGATACTTGCTTTGTACTTGTTTATTTCGAACCCTGCCATGAACTAATCCTATTTAGTGGGAGTTCGCTTGGATGTTTAAGTTTTATTTCAATGAATGGTTGTTTTTATATGTCTTGATCTATTTTGTTTATGAAACTTAATGCTTTAAGGTTGTAGGAGCTACGAGAGTAGCCTTTCCTTAGAAGATGCTTAGGGTTCGAGAGAATGCCTAGGCAAAATATCTTTAGTCTTCGAGAGAAGCTAGGGAGGAACTACTTAAACAAGGGGTTCTAGATAGTAACTAGGCATAATCCACCTTAGAGATAAGGCTAGGATTTCATTCGACTAAAAGGAGTTGTACAAAAACGGTAGGTTAGATGTTAATGCTACCGCAAAAAGGTATTGCCGAGACATATCCTGTTATCTGGACCAATAGGATCACTGCAGGGGTTTACGCCAATCGGTTTTGCAGGGAATCTTTAATCTGTCGAGTCCCTTACTAGAGATAACATAGGGCACCTCTGTAGACTCTGTCGGGCAAGTTAAGCATAGAGGAAATACCATTTAGAGAAATAGATTTAGATTTTCCTTGTGACTCCTACCTCTCATTCCCATATCAGCTTGTCGTGTGAGAAAACTAAAGTCCTATATATTAAATCTAGCATTTGCAATTTTATTTTGCCTTGGCATTTACATTTATTTGCATGCATTACATTTTAATTTACCACGAGATATCCATTTGCTACCTCACTGCCATCATCCATTTCCACATCAGTCAATTCATATTGCCACAACATTTTCATTTGTATATACCATTACTAAATTTACTTAGGTGACAAAGTAAAGTGCCTTGACAAACCTATTTGACTTCCCCAATTCCCTGTGGAGACGATACTCTACTTATCACTTTATTACTTGTTCGATTGTGTATACTTGCACACATATCCGCACCCATATTTAGTACCCACAAAGAGCGGATAGCTGCCCATGGAGTTCAAGACATCATCCTATGGTTACAACCTCACCAAAACATTGCAAGAAGACCCGTGTGCATTCATGTAGGCTGCCATGTGCATCATTCAAGCATGTGTACTACATGTGACATCAAATAGGCGCCAAAACACCAAGGGATGCTTTCTATTTGGCCAAAGACTCATTCCTCTCCATTTTGGTGCCCAAATGACTTCCAAAAGCATTTAAAACATCCTTAGGCCGAACCAACACCTTACCATTCAGCCAAGAGCATGTATATGCATTAAAATCATGTATTTTCATTAAAAAATCATGTATTTTCAAAGGGCTTTCAACCTTGGCCAAACCATCAAGTGTTTATTCGGCCTAAACCCTTTGAAAACTATAATAGGCTATTGCATTTCATTTGTAACTCAACCCTTTGATAATATAAAATCCTTGTGAGATTATTCTCTCTTCAAGTTCTTTTTAGAACTATATCGATTAAGCAAGCTTTTCTAAAGTTTGTGGCGTCAATCCCTTCCTTTATACTTCTGGTTCCTAGTTCATATAAATAGTGGGTCAAAGTCCTTGCTACCATCCCTTATAAGACTTATAAGAAACGGGTCTTTGTTCTTTATAACATTGGTTCCTTCTTAGTTTTATAAGATATTATTTCCATCACCATCTTTCCATCACCATCCTCCATCACCATTCACGCCCATATCATCATCCTTCCATTACCATGTCTTCATCATTAAATCATCCTTCATTCATCAACAAGGCATACTTCATTACCACATTTGGAGGCCGAAGTCAACATCACTTGAAGGAGATTTATTCAACATTTCCGCACCCTACTTTGATATCATTTCTTGCCATTTCCTTTCTTATCATTTCCTTTCTTCTTCCATATTTCCATTTTAATCATTTCTTTCTTTTAATTTTTACAGAATACTTATCAATTCAAAGTGTAGCATTTGGTGTCTCTCCTAGATCGGGAAACAACAAGGTTGCCAACTTCTCCATCATTGAAAAAGTGTGGTTAGCCTTACATCAGAGGCTCTCGCAAAAGGCGTGGGCACGGCTTAATCATCCCGAGCTAATGCAGAAGAAGTCTTCAGTTAAGGCGTGGGCACGACTTATCCATCCTAAGCAATCGCAAAAGAAGTCTTCATTTAAGGCGTGGGTATGGCTTATTCATCCTGAGCTATTGCAGAAGAAGTCTTCAGTTAAGGCGTGGGCACGCCATCTATCAACTCAGTTCGGTTTTTTTCGGTAATTGTTTTTTTGGATTGGTTTTCGGTTATTTTATTGGATTGGATTGGATCTGATCACATTTATTTGATTTGTAGCAGACTCTGCTTCTTTGGGTAATAAAAGAATCTAATTTATCCAAAAAAAAAAGAAGGCATTTATATTTATAAAATATCCAGGAAAGAGTCGAAAATCTTGAACCAACGAATAAATAAGAGTAGAAAACGTATGATATCAAATTTACAGTCTTTTTCCAGTTGGTTTGGAAAACGTCAATGCAAGCGTGCATATAGAATACTAATGCTTAAAGGGTGAAAAACAAAGAAAACAAGAAAGAAGAGTATAATTATAAAATGTTCAATTTTGCTCATATGGAACTAATTCTATCCCATGTATTTGAATTTATCGAATGATTTTAGCGGTGAAAGAGAAATTTATTTTTCTTAGAGGATTCAAATTTGACCAGTTGCATCTGTAGAGTGTGTGTTGTCAATAACAGACATATATTACTTTGTAATCACCACTACTTAAAAAATGGATAAAGTATACAAATGATCCCTCGAATATAGAGTTCTTCTTTGTTGAGTCCCACGACTATTAAAAGTTATAAAATGGTCATCTAACTATTAATATGTTCCAAACTCGTCATTTTCCGTTAAAATTTTGACAACAGTCGGAGGTGAACGTTAACATGCTCAAAATCGATGACATAATGTAAACAAAGAGTCGATAAAAAAATATAGCTCAAATAATTCTAGAATAAGATTTTATCATATGTAAGTTTTTAATGGAAGAGGACGAGTTTGAAATATATTAATAGTCGAATCGTCAATATGTAACTTTTAATAGTTAGGGAACTCAACAAAACAACACCTTATAATCAAGAGATTATTTTATAACTTTAATAATAGGACACAACAAAGTAAAATTTTATAGTCGACCATTTACATACTTTACCCAAAAAAATTATCCGATGTATTTGATAACGTCTATATCCTCGTTTACGATTCAATGGACCAACAGGAGAACCATTGGTAATGAGATGTCGATTCAATGGACCAACAGGAGAACCATTGGTAATGAGATGTTGGTTTGTGGACAAGGCTCCAATGGATGACATTATTTCGAAATACTAGGGTTTTGCGCTAATAATCTTGTCGTAACGTATTAAAAGTTTTTTATGCTTTTAAAGAAAATTGATTTACGACTTATTATTTAAAATTATTTAATTTGCTCTGGAGTCGCCATCGACATTTAAGTTAGGTAGGTCGAATACCTAAAAACGTCTTTTAAAACAATTTAAAAAATCATTTAAAAGACAAAAGTCAATTCGCGTTTACCAAAAACTCAATTTACAAGGTTCGAGAGTCGATTACGCGTAGAGAAAAAAACTCACCGTCACAACGCCCAAAATTAATATTTAATTGCTTATACATTGTCGTAAAAGTAGAATTATGAAATCAAATATAAAATTAGAACATGATCCATTTGTTGGGGTTTATTTTATAATTAATTTACTTCAAATGAATTATCAGGGAAAATCCTTTTGCTTTGAAAAAAATCTTAAGATTCGTACATCCTCCAACGGGTAGGCTATCATATCTATTTCTTGTATATAAAAGAATATTCCTTCCTCACTTTATTAAAAATCAATGATTGAATAAAGTTCTAGTACTAGTAATTACATAAAATAACTTATTATTTAGAGGAACATATGTTGCAAGTGTTTAAGTTAGAATTAAAGAAACAAATTAATTAGCCTTACTTTTATAAAATATAATCGATTTATTTTGAGTTCATGTTTCGTTCGAATGTCGTTTTGAATCACACTTTTTCTATAAAGTAGTGTTTTTCACGTCCATTCTACGACAAATGTTCTCGAAAGTAGTCGAGTAAACTACTAAAAATATTAACGATCAAATATAAGAGATTCACAAAAGATTGATAAAGAAAAGTCCATAAATCAAAACAAAATAAATAAGATAGAATAAAAACATAAAGAAGAATAGTGTATAAACATACAAGGTTAAGAAGTATTATATATATATATATATATATATATATATATATGTTCCTGCTCCACTGGACCCCTCGGTTCATGCCATTAACTAAGCCCACATATCATGAAACCAAGTTGCTAGGGTTTTCACCATAGCAATCTACCGCCGCCGCCAGCAGAAGAGAAAATATCATCTCTAGTAATCCACACCCGAGCCAGCTCTCGCTAGGGATGGCAAAAAAACCCGAACCCGACGGAGAAAACCGAAAACCGAATTAAACGGGTCGGGTTCGGGGATGATAAACGGGGACGGGGACGGGGACGGGGAAAACCCATTTATTTTAAACGGGGACGGGGACGGGTTTGG